CTCTCTCTCTCTCTCTCTCTCTCTCTCTCTCTCTCTCTCTCTCTCTCTGATATTCAATGTTAAAATATAGGCTTAACCTGAGAACACTTTTGAATTGTATGCTATTTACATCACATTTTTTGTGCTGACTTGTATTAGCAGTAGACGTTTTACTCCAAAGACAAAATTCACCAAGAAAAAAAAAAWTAAACTGCCAATATGCCAGTTATTATTATAACGTAATATAATAGTCCATATTTACACCATACGTGTTGACAAATGTAATTCAGTCACACTGGTGGAAACCCCCCTCCCCCTGAGCTGATGTACTCCACCCATTCTGCCTGTTTAACGTAAAAAAACAAAACAAAAACAGTACGAGGAGTGAAAAAAAGCATAACCTTTTTACTGCCTGCATCTCAGTTCTTATGTTTTACTATACGGAGCCATTCCAAAGATTTGGATCATTCGGGAACATCTTTCTGATTTTCACTCTGTCTGGCCTCAGAATTTTCCCTTCAAAACTAGAAGGGTATGGCATCTTTACCTTGACATATTCCACATAAAACACTTCAGACATTAACTTTTAAATGTGTGATCCCCAGATGCTTCTTGTAATTCAGGAATCTTTTCAACACTACTCATAATTGTTGCACAGAGACCGTTTGTTTGAAGGTTTGTTTTAACTCTATGTTTTTGCCTTCCTGTGACAATGGTATGCTTACCATGGTGACCACAAGCTTGAGCATTTTTATCATAGTTTTCTTTAAAGTTTTTATACAGATTTTTAATTCAAATATTGGCATTTTGTCAGCTTAGATTTAAAAAATAGGGCCCAAATTATGTATGGGCTTTATAGAAGACAGTTGATGCACGTTGGAWTTCTGAGCAGTAGCTGCATTGACACCCTTAATATTTTTTTCAGAGCCCCTTACAGTCACTGAGTATGTTTAAAATACCAATGAGTGGATGGGCCAAATTTTTTTCAGTTCAATACAGAAAAGACAGAAGTCACTGGTTTTAGTTTAAAACAACTCAAGGCAAACTCAACATTTAACCAGACTCAGCGACAATAAAAACTAACCTGGCAACAAAAGCCACATCAAGGCTTACTATAATCTTAAGAACATTGCAATACGCAGATGAATCCTGTCTTAACAAGACATATAAAAAATTGGATTATCTTTTATTTTCAGTGGATTAGGTTATTACAGTGGTATTTATAGAGGAATCAATATAAAAACATTCAGACGTTTAATCAAAAAGTTGCAGCTTGAGTCCTGATCTAAACCAGGAAAATGGAACATAGTACACCTGCCATGAAATCACTGCACTGGCTCCATGTTTGTAAAATTTTAATAACGATACATCTCAAAAATTCAAAAGATATGTCAGGACAGTAGGGGGAGGTTTGCACTGGTTCATAGGACCTGAACTGAACAAGAAGTTAGTGTCTTTGCTGATGCTGATCATCTCTAGAACCAAAAATCTGCAAACCTAAGATGTGTTGGTTCCTTTAAATGGACTGAAAACAACAATGACTACAGCTTTTCTGTAAAAATTAAAGTTTATAAATTTTGTTTATTCTGTTATTTTGCTTTAATGTTTTGTTTTCTGTAATGCTCAAATTTCAATGTCTTATTTTTTATCTTTGAAAATGATTCTTGTATTTGTAAAGCACTTTGTATTTACCGTCATATGAACAGTTCTATACAAATGAACTTTGTTATTACTAAAGCTAAAACTATTTTTGAAAAAGAAACAGCATTATCTCCTACATTACCTCTACCTCCCATCTTACACAGACAAACAATGGTCAACTCAGTTCCTTACCACTGGCTCTTATCATTTTACACTGCATATATCCATTTACTTGTCATACTTTTCGCACAGTTTTAAAAAAACACAAGGAGAGCAGAGTTGCACTGCTGAAAGTGGTCTTTGTGAAATGGCACAGATGAAAGGAAAATAGTGAGTAATAAAAAGCACAACTGAAACACAGTAGCTGACATCTTTAACCAGCAGAGCGATGTATATAATTTATTTTGCCACATGCATGAGTTAGCATTTTCTTTCTCCTGCCTTGATAGCTTCTGAACACAGTGGAAATCCATTGTTTGTTTGCGTCAGAGGGACTGAATAAGAGAAATGGGTGCGTGTCTCGTCCTCTCCACATAAAGATCCCTGAGTGCTCGTTAAGGATATTGTATCTTGTATGCGAGGTTTTCCCTCACTCTACACTCAAACGCTCTCTGGATCGACTCTCGTCRTGCAGCGTTGTGATTGTTTGAGTGGGCTCTAATGTGGTAGAAACTGAAAGGATGGTTGAGCATGGTGGGACAGGAGGGAGGTCATGCTGTAAGACTTGTCAGTCCGTGTCTTCGTCACTGCAGCAGCAGATACTCCCACACTCAGCTGCAACATGCAGAGGGCTATGCACACGGCCAGTCAGCTAGTATGCAGAATGAGGTCAGAGATTTCTTTCACTCCCTATGAGACTGTATGCTTTAAACAATCCTTATCTGTGTCTGATGTGTTGTTTTACACAATGAAATCTAGATGACAAAAAACAAACAAAAAGGAAACAAAAAACTTTTACTTTGCTAACAGTAATGAAAGTAATGTCCTGGAGGGAATGCATGTTGCCCACCACCTTTCTTGCCAAATTTTTAAATGAATATCAAATTCATTATGTTAGTACACAATCTATTTATTGGGGATAGCTCAGTGGCGGATCTAGGATTTTTCTGTGTAAGGGGCCATCAACGGGCCACAATATT